TAAAATGTTGACACCCAGTGACTCAAAGTGCCACCGGTTAAATCTTAAATACCTTGTTTAATGTTTAACACAGTTGCGATGGGGCGTCCTGCGATTGCGAAGTAACGCGCTGTCCTCTGTAGGCGGGTAGTCGTTGTTTGAAGTGGTGAGGTGGTTTGGGCTGCTGGATGTAAGAGTACACGATTCTTCTTTAACTGTAGAAGATGTAGAGCAGGATGTAATTCAACAAAGATTACTTATTAACCAACATCTTGAGAAGGGCGATCGTCACTGTCCAGAGTTCTGAGCCTTAGCGAAGAAAGATTGGTAATACAAAAAAAAAAAGTAAAGGACCCTTTTCCACGCCTTTATATAGGGCATATAGGGCTAGACCTTTATTTTATAGACCAACGGCACAAGATGGGTGGTGTGGTCAGCATCACGCCGGCCGCCTCTACTTCCCGGGACTGCACCTGGTACCTACTCAAGGCTGGGTCGTCATAGGAGCCAAGGTCATTTTTAAAGAGAAGTCCGGCTCCGATAGGGCGCGAACCCACGACCTTCCGATCCGCGGCGCGCGTCTAGCCGCTCTGCCACGGCGACTCTCGAAAGATTGGTAGTACAATATAATTCGTGGCCACTTGCTAGGCAAATGTATACATATAACTGACGAAGAAGAATTACTTCCACATACCTCCCCCCCCCCCCCCCCCAACCCTCTTACCCAGATCTGCACACATGAACCTGTCGACGTATAAGGTAATGGATCAGAGGACTAACTGGCAAGTCAGGCAATAGTACAAACCGCAGAAATCACGGGCAAGGTTTATAAACTCAACGCAGCATGGACTTATCGCCATCAAAGTCATATAACAGAGCGCATATCGTTGGGTCACCGGCCTCTGTTGACTCTCTGACCACTTTCCTCCATCTATAGGTCAGATGCAGGAGACTTAGTGTTTGCAGTCCATCCAGCTAGCCACATTGTTTTTTAAAAAACTTGGCCTGCCTCTTCTCATCTTTCCGTCTAACGAGCCCTGTAAAATCGTTTGGGAGAAGCCAGGAGATCTTGTTACATGCCCGTACCATTACACTTTCCATATTTTCTTTGGTACATGCCCGTCCATTACTCTTCCGTCTGTTCTTGCTACATGACTCTACCATTACATTTCCATCTTTTCGCTGTTGTTGAGACACATTTTTAACAGTGTGTTCGCCATGATGTGGTGATACGGCCTTCTTCTGATATACTAGGAATCTTTCGAAAAGATCTTCTTTCCTGAGCTTGTATTTTTTTTTTTTTTTTTTTTTTTTTTTTAAGCTCAAATTTTAATGTCTACATCTCATAAACGCATATAAAGTTACCTGTAGCTATTGTTCCTCACCCTGTTTACACATGCGGCCCACCAAAACAGGGGAGCTTGTTCCTCGACCCATCAAAACAGGGGAACTTGTTCCTGAACCCACCAAAACAGGGGAACTTATTCCTTGCCCAACAAAAACAGGGGAACTTGTTCCTCTACCCATCGAAACAGGGGAACTTGTTTCTGGACCCATCAAAACAGGGGAACTTGTTTCTGGACCCATCAAAACAGGGGAACTTATTCCTTGCCCAACAAAAACAGGGGAACTTGTTTCTCGGCCCACCAAAACAGGGAAACTTGTTCTTCGTCCCAGCAAAATAGAGAAACTTGTTTCCACCTGACGCTAACCAACATATAACCATATAGACAGCAGTACATTCACATTTTCAGTTACTGATGCTTCTGCTTCTGCTGCTGCTTCTTCTGCTTCTGCTGCTTCTACTGCTGCTTCTACTAATGCTTAGAGATTGAACAAATATGGTCTCTGTAGCTGAAGAGTTGTCTCACTAACAACAGCTGTTTAGCGAGGACAGCTCTTGTTCTAGGTATTCTATCCATTTTGGTTCCCTGTGTTAATTACAATAAAATATTTTATCTGATTAATTTGTTCTAGTGTTTAACATTTAACTTATTTTTGTAAATTTATACCTGCTGGGTCATTGACTAGTATTATTCGCTTTGATGTCTATACTGTACTTGGAAGATGTTTCCTCAAGTAGATCGATGTGGGCAGCTAATGTGTGTTCTTCCCTGGCCAGCCCTTTTGGCATCGTCTGCAAATGTTATATCCCCTTTTTCTTTTTTTTAAAACTCCGGATCCTGTTCCTTCATTTTCTTTGTAGGTAGATACTGTTATTGACAAATATATCAGATCTAGCAGAATATTACAAATGTTGGCAACAAACTTTCAAAACTGCGCAAGGTTTTCAATGGAGTTTGTGTTGACAAGGAAATTCTTCTCAGGGTTGTTGCAGGCTACGCGTGATGTGCTAACTTGCCGCGCCCCGGAGGCCGAATCTGATATGAGATGTAATCACTGTTCCACCCCTCCCCCGCCCCAACTACACATAGTGGGAAATCACCCCTACATGTCTCCGTGACGTATGCTTGTATGGTTTATCGTTATCAATTTCATCTTTGAGCCTGTTACATCCTTGTTGTTTCTCTCTAGACTCAAACACTAAATGTCAGAGATAGGGCCTGCGATCATAGATCCCGCTGCATGTGCCATAAAATGATTGTATTACTAGGCACCCACGTGGATCTAATGTAAAATTGTCAAGGAACTATATAAAACCGAACCAAAAGTAAATCAGCGAGCTTCACCAAAAAACAAACAAAACGTGAACGTTGTGGTTATGGAGCCTTCTTCAGCACATACATAGAATGGACAATACTACACAGATACATAATATTACTTTTCTTAAAATTGGTGATAGGAAATATTCTTAAAATTAAAGTCGGCCGGTGTTTTGTTGATCAACCATCCAGTGTGGATTGGTCTAAAACAAATGTACAGCTAACATCATTTAACAAGACTGTCTCAAATGTGGAAAAAGATCCGTGTTAACAACTAATTTCAATCAACGCTAATCAATGAATGATCCTCATAAAGCAGACAATCTTTCAATCAGGTGTCGTCTGTGGACTGTGGTCCTGGTTGTACCTTCACTCAGGACTGTTGTTCGTCTATCTCTTGATATTGCCCTCCCACTTGTATCGCTGTTCGCTTCTGGCCGGCTTGACTTCAACTTTTCGCCACCATGATTGAGTATATCACCGCACTGAAGGCAGGCTGTTATGAGTTGTCAACGCCCTCTATCGTGCGTCCGCCGTTTCTGTGTGTCCAGGCGGTGACGCTGCCTCACTCGTTGATGGCCGTGGGGTTAGTAAAACGGATGTACACGCAAAACTCAGGCCCTGGCATAAAGCCAAAGTCCAAATGGACAAACAACCAGGACTTTCCACCGGAGCTTACAGCCGGTGAACGAAGAAGAAGCAGAAGAAGAAGATTCTAGACTAACGTCCTTTGGTTGTCAGAGACGGGTATTTAAGAGCAGGGTTGCTGAAGTTTATTTGCGTATTTTGGTACTATTTGCTGGATCCAATAAGTGCTCCAGTAGGAAAACGGGCATCAGTTGTGCTGTTGGTCATGAAATGTCGCAAGAACATTCTGGATAAATAAAGAATGGAGAAAACTGATGTGGTGAAGAAGAAAGGGAAAAAAACTGCGGACGGGTTGTCTTGCGTTGGTTTTGAAAAAACCGTTTAAATTCCTTGACCACACACACACACACACACACACACACACACACACACACACGCGCGCGCGCGCGCGCGTGTATGTAGCCAAGGAAGTTTTAACAGTTTTAAAAGTTAGAATGTGGTATCTTTTGTTGCGTTTTGGTACCTTTTTCAAGATAAATTTATTTCGGCAGCCCTGTTTAAGAGATTTCCGATAAGAAACCGATAGATGTGGGATAAAACCCGGATGTAACGAACACAATCCTCCTGCATTTCAAAACCATCCTCCTAACGGCGTATTCTGTCAGGCTTTTCACTGTCCCTTTCTTGATGTTAGCTACCCACGTGTAACGCTGTCTTCCTCTTGCACACGTCTCCTCCCTCTCCCCCAGCACATACCGGGAGTCGAGGTAGCACAGTGGCTAGTACGCTTGCTAGTCGAATCGGTGATCTTAGGTTCGCATTCTATCGGCGCGGATTTTCTAAACTTATCCTGGGATCCCAGGTCGACCAAGTCTTAAATGTACACCAGGAAATATGGCGAGAAGTAAAAGGGCTGACATGATATTGACCTCGTCATCCACTGCATGTTCATTAGTCAATTAAAAAATGAGACAGATTATGGGCTGGGGTAGGAGGAGGCGGGTGGGGTATGTGGCGAAGTGGTCAAGCCGTTTGCCTCGCGCTCTGAAGATCGTCGGTTTGTTTCACGAGGCACCGTTAAGTTCACAATTGAAATATTTATGGAGATTCCAGAGGATCGCCGCCGGAGCTACGGAGGTCGAGCTTTGTGTGACGCTTTCGGCAGGCAGCCTGCTGTTCTGCGAAGGGAGACTAGCCATATGGAATAAAACCCAGTGCAATGAAGTCGATCCTCTCACCTCAACCTCTCCCTTATGGGGTGGCTAGTTCTAAATACTGAACATCCTTAACTGTGTTGCCCTACAAGCCCTCTAGCTAATATCCATACGAATGGCAATACTAAACTCATGAACCTACTGCTTCCAGAGCGGCCAAATGTACAACCCTTGCAGGTAACAGACATGTTTGCAGAGTTCTTCGGAATCCCTCACTAAACTTAGGATGTCAAATCATGCATAACATGTTGATTACGAATATTCCAGTCACATAAAGTGCGTTGTGAGGGACAGAAAGAGAAGGCTAAGAATGGAAAAAAAGACATTTTCTCTTGCATCATCTGACATGGGTGTGCGGTCAAGATGTTATTATTTTCATATTCTGGGAAGTTGCATGATTTCTCTGTGAAGTAACAGTTTACTGTTAAAGTTAATGCTGTGCATCCCTCCTTTATTGATCGAACTGAACGGGATTTCATTGTTCCCTCAAGCAGAAGCTGAAGCTGTATCTGGTCGGTGAAGTCTAATCCTCCAAATTCTTTTGTTTTTTCCTTAGAAACCAGCAGCCGAGAGTGGTCATGCTTCATCGAAGCTCGGAAGGTTATGGTTTTGTTCTTCGTGGAGCCAAATGTAAGTTGTCCGTCTGTCTGTTGTATGTCTGTCTGTCTGCCTGCCTGCCTGCCTGCCGGTCTGTTGGTATATCTATCTGCCCAGGGCTGGATTTAGACTACAAGAGGCCCTAAGTTATACAAAGCCCGGAGGCCCCACCGTTTAAAAATTAAACTAGTTAATCTGAGAAAACTTTGAAATACATAAACTTTGTAAATAAATTGATAATTGAAACATATAATGGTTTAATTTTCATTTAAAGAAATAACAAAAAACTTGTTTGCAAAATCACAGAAATTCTGTCTATTGCATGATCCCCAAAAAGGCTTTAAGTTAAAACTTAAAACATGTTGGGGGGGGGGGGGGGGGGGGGGGGGAAGGGGGGGGGGGCATTTTTAGATGTGTTCAAAGAAAATTAAAAATTAAAATATATTACAAGAAAATTACAATTAAAATATTTTACTATAAAATATATTTAAAATATTTTACTAGAAAATATATTTTAAAATATTTTACAAGAAAATTACATTTAAAATATATTACAAGAAATTTACATTTGTGAACAAGAGGAAACTTTTTTAGGCCCCTGCAGTTGGTGAAGTCCCAAGCTGTAGTTTACTTAGCTTATATCTAAATTCAGCACTGTATCTGCCTTTATATACATTTGCTTGTCTGTGTGGCCATCCTTCTGTATGTATGCACATCTGTATACCTACCTATATGCCCAGCTATCTGCCTGTGTATGCACTTCTGTATACCTACCTATATGCCCACCTATCTGCCTGTATATGCACATCTGTATACCTACCTATATGTCCACCTATCTGCCTGTGTATGCACATCTGTATACCTACCTATATGCTCAGCTATCTGCCTGTGTATGCACATCTGTATACCTACCTATATGCTCAGCTATCTGCCTGTGTATGCACATCTGTATACCTACCTTTATGCCCACCTATCTGCCTGTGTATGCACATCTGTATACCTACCTTTATGCCCACCTATCTGCCTGTGTATGCACATCTGTATATACCTACCTATATGCCCACCTATCTGCCTGTGTATGCACATCTGTATACCTACCTATATGCCCACCTATCTGCCTGTGTATGCACATCTGTATACCTACCTATATGCCCACCTATCTGCCTGCATGTATGTTAAACGAGCAAAAAAAAGCTGATGAATCCTCCGACCACGTCTGCAGTACATGTGAATTCCTCACGGATATCATTCTCTCTTCTTGTCTATCCAGCAAAACTGTCAACGGGAGGCAGCTTCAATGATTTCACGCCAACAGCCGAGTATCCAGCCCTGCAGTACCTGGACAGTGTCGACCCAGGCTCACAGGCTGACCGGGCCGGGCTGCGGGCTGGCGATTTTATCTTGGAGGTGAGCTTGTTTGTCTCAGGCAGCATGTTTGCGTAATCACAATTATTTTTTTCGGGGGGGGGGGGGGGGGGGGGGGGGGGGGGGGTGGAAGGGGGATTCCTGTTTTGCTTAAAGGCAAATCTAGCAAAACAGGGGTGTGTGGTGTATGTGTGTGTTTGCTTTCTTTTCAGAGTATCATATGATAATTTTGAGGAGCCTTGTTTGTCCGTGTCTACTCTATACATTAAAGGAGAGTAGGGAGAAGAGAAAAAAAATTTTTAGCAAACGAATTCAATTATAAGTGTGAAAAACGGATCAACATCATGGTACACGAGTAGTAACACGTAAGTGCTTCGTTCGTCTTCTGAGCCCGAAGAGTCCTAGCCAGTGCGCAACTCCGTAGCACCGGCGAGGATCCTAAAATACGTTGGGTAGATTTTTAACTCCAAATTTTGCCCGGGCAGGCGTTAGGCTACTCTTCGATTTCCAGCTGCCAAGCGATTTTTTTTACGTGAGCAACAGTGCACAAGGGCGTCTGATCTCACTACCCATAGACCAGGGGGAATTATTATAATCCAAGTCCACGTGGGGAAAAATTCCAGCCCTACAGGGGATTGAATCCAGAACCTCTAGCACTACGGACACCATGCCTTGAGACCGCGCAAACCCCAAACGAATTTAAAAAATATGAAGTTTTAATAAACGAGAATACGAACGAACAGGAGTCGTGGGAATGCTTTTGCAAGCCCCAAATAACATCAGCGGAAGTTACGAGCTAGAAAATTCCCAGCGGAAGATTTAATTACCGACAACCTTGCTAGCAGGGCTCTTGGAAAAAGTCAGAACGACCTACTTAGCAGACTTCAGGGAAACAAATAACTGGGCATTGTTTGGATGCCAAACAGGGGAAAGTCTTGCCTTGTTGCGTGGAGCGGAAGTGAAACTTCCATAGCCTTTCTGTGTGTGGTCAGCGGCAGGGATCTGAAGGTCATGGACAGGATAGTGTCCAGACTTGTAACGGTTTTGTTTAACTCTCTTAGACGCTGCTATTGTACACACCGGGCAACTGGTGTTGGAATTATTAGAATCCAAGAAGGAAAAATGTATCATAATGTACCAAATTAAATACGACGATTAAAAGAAAGTCAGCGAAGGACACTTTTCAGGCCTGAAAATATCAAACCAAACGAAAAGTAGACCAGCTAGCTTCACAAATAACAAACACAAACAGAAAGTGAGTGTCACGGTTCGAGAGCCTTCATCAGCACTTTTTAGATCTGTATCGCATTTGGCATATAGTGCCAGACGCATATTTTATCAACTAATATGGTGATGTGGTTAGCATTAAGACGGCCACATTTGCCTTCCCAGACATTACCTGGTACCCATTTTAAGCTGTGAGTAAAGGTCACTTTTTAGGGAAAAAGGGGGCGGGATCCGCCTCGAAGCAAATTTAATGGCGTGTTATAAAACAATAGATGGGTGCAGACATTGCGTTACATTTGACGAAATATGTTCTGTATTAAAAACATGGATTGAAACAAGAGTCGCAGTGGCACAGGATGGAAAATGTACTTACCAACGAAAGCCTGTCAGTTGCTTGTGAAACATGTACAATAATCAGGCACACTGAGAAATGTCACGTGGAAGCGGACAGTTTCTGAAAAAAAGTAAAGAATACAATGGAAGGACATCTTAAATGAGGCGGTCCATCAAAATACTTAAAAAAAACTGCAAATTGATTACACAAACTAGAAGTATATAGAGTCCAGATATATGAAACATGGGATACTGAGTAATAAACGTGAAAGAATAATGACAACCAGAAAACTTGTCGAAGAAAAAGAGCATTGGAAAGACAGATGTATACCTGAATAATGTGGCCACTTGACAAAGTCTGGATAAAAGCACAGGCTTGACCCAAAGCTAATGATTGTGTGTGTGATGGCGAACCATGGTCGCCCACTCTTGTCGGCATGCCACTAAATGATGCTGTAAATCTTCCTCATCTTATTCATCCTGTCACTTTTATTTTCTTACCACTCCACCCCCCCCCCCCCCAACCCAACCCTCTCTTTCTTAACCATTTTCCTGCTTTTTATTCTCCTATTTTCTTCTTTTGTTCCTCCCTCTCCAGCTTCTCAACCTTCCTTCTCCCCCTCCTTAGTCTGTGCTTTGGAAAAATAAACATTCTAGTTTATTCTGTCTACGCAGACACCAGACTACGGCCAGATTGTATGTCCATTGGTTGGTTGGTAGGTAATTGTACCCCACCAGGACATAACAAATGATAAAAACTCGGTGACACAGAGTGACACCATGCGGATGAGGATCACCCATGGAGAGGTCCCAGAAACCCCTTTCAGCCGCTAGGCCATATCTGTGCCCCAGCTATATTCAGGGCCCCCAGCAGAAGCCAGGATGGGGCTTCAAATAACAAAAAAATTGCATCCCACATGAGGACGATAGTAGCTCACACACGATATGTCCATTACCTAGCGTTAAACGTGTACGTAACGGTTTATAACTCAGTCATATCTGGCCATTTGTGTTCACGCTTGCCCGTCTGCTGTAACCTAGAGTCTTCCCGGCTTAAGGGAAGAGAGAGAGAGGGGCAGGGGCCTTAGGTGGGGGAGAGAGAGGAAGGGGCCTTAGGGAGAGAGAGGGGAGCCTTAGGTGGGTGAGAGAGAGGAGGGGGCCTTAGGGAGAGAGAGGGAGGGGGTTTCAATTGAAGAACAATGAAAAAGGGGGAAATTGGTGACATTATATTCCCTAGCAGTTGATTCTAAAGAGGTAAGTCCTAGTACAAAGGGTGCGGACACAGCACATTCTCATGTTCACCATTTGGGTTCAAAATTGAGTACGCAGATTGTAAGCGGAGAAGCATAAAATAGATTGTAAGCGGAGAAGCATACAACAGATTGTAAGCGGAGAAGCATACAACAGATTGTAAGCGGAGAAGCATACAACAGATTGTAAGCGGAGAAGCATACAACAGATTGTAAGCAGAGAAGCATAAAACAGATTGTAAGCGGAGAAGCATAAAACAGATTGTAAGCGGAGAAGCATAAAACAGATTGTAAGCGGAGAAGCATACAACAGATTGTAAGCGGAGAAGCATACAACAGATTGTAAGCGGAGAAGCATACAACAGATTGTAAGCGGAGAAGCATAAAACAGATTGTAAGCAGAGAAGCATAAAACAGATTGTAAGCGGAGAAGCATAAAACAGATTGTAAGCGGAGAAGCATAAAACAGATTGTAAGGGGAGAAGCATACAACAGATTGTAAGCGGAGAAGCATACAACAGATTGTAAGCGGAGAAGCATACAACAGATTGTAAGCGGAGAAGCATACAACAGATTGTAAGCGGAGAAGCATACAACAGATTGTAAGCGGAGAAGCATACAACAGATTGTAAGTGGAGAAGCATACAGCACTTTTGCCACTGGCAAGGAAACGAAGTAACGAATGACACAGTTACCTCTCTTTTCTATCTGGATAAGTTGTCTGTGTGTCTTGGCTTCTGTCGAAAACATTGAGACGATTCACTGACTGTCCAGAAGATATCTATGCTTTCTCTATTCATCGCTATCATTGCTGTTGACTGTCTGGTCAGATCCCTCCATCTTTGAAGTCAGATGTGATGGAGTTCATAACTGCATGTCTAAGGCTTGTCCGGTCAGTCAAGTTCTGCATTCAAGCCTTTGCTAGTCTGCCTTTTCCCCTCTACTGAGCCCTGTAGAATTGTTTTTGAAAGGCCCTTAGATCTTATTACATGTCTATACCACTGCATTTTTCTATTAATAAAGTAACAGACGATGTATTGATTGGTACTCATAGAAAGAAGTAGAAAGATAGAAAAAAGAACACACTAGACAACATAAAAATCAAAAGCTATCATTGCATTTTTCTGTCTTTTCATTGTAGTTAGAAAAGGTTCATAGTTGCCAGTGTTTTGGGTAATCATTTGGCAAATTTCTGTATCAAAGTAGAGAAACTATATTCTATAGACTTATCGGTACTCAGAAGGCAATGTGATCAATATCATGATGGCCACGTTTACTTCCCATGGCTTTACCTCGTACCAATTCAAGGCTGGGTCTTGCTACCCCCCGACCTCCCCTCCCTAACAAGGGGTCTCTGTGGTGAAGTGGTCTAGCTGTTTGCCTTGCGCTCTGAAGGTCCTGGTTTCATTTCATGGATGCATGCTTCAGTTCATGTGTGAAATTTTTACGGAGATCCCATGGGATCATCGCTGGAGCTGCGGAGTTTGTGCTCTGTGCGGCGCTCTTGCCTGGTGCTTGGACTGAGCCAAATGGGATAAAACCTGATTCAGTGAAGTTGATCCTCTCGACTCTAACTTTAACCCCATAGCAAACATGTCATAATAGGCAACTAATCAGGCATTTCTTGGAATCAGATCTCTTGGGCTGAAAGATGCAGATATCACAACACAGCCTGCCAGCCACCCTTTTAACAGGGAACACAGATGGACTATTTTTAAAACTCCTTAATATGAGAGCTAAGCAGTTTTCTAAATCTTTTTACTCTTCCTCTCATTTGCTAACAGATTAACGGTGAGAATGTAGTCAGAGCATCACATGAACGAGTAGTTCATCTGATCCGCTCATCCAGTGACATACTGACCCTCAAAGTGGTCACAGTTATCCTCATGGATCCTACTCCCAGTGACTGGCATGCTTATCCAGACAGTGGATCAATGACTCTACCTTCCCGCAAGAAAATTGGTAAGTGCTTCATGACTCTACCTTCCTGCAAGATCAGGAAGTGCTTCATAATTCTACCCTCCCACAAAAGACTGATTCATGAGTTTAGTAATGCAAATATAAACAGTGCACTGCACAATTTATTGCTGGTCATATTTTTCTGCATCTCATCAGGTGTGTCATGTATTGTTTATATCCGCATTATTTACAATTATTACAGGAAAACATTATTTTGAAGATTAAGTAAAGTTAATAACCAACACCACAGCACTCATGACATTCCTTCCCATCATCGCTGCACCCCCGTCTTCAGCATCCAGCACCGAGTTCCAGTTTTGATTGAACCAATATAGTCCGAATGTTTAGTCCAACTTGCTTTTGCTGAGTGGTTGAGTGTCAGCAAGATTTCCTGAGTGGTTGAGTGTCAACTAGATCTGCTGAGTGGTTGAGTGTCAGCAAGATTTTCTGAGTGGTTGAGTATCAGCCAGATTTCCTGAGTGGTTGAGTGTCAGCTAGATTTCCTGAGTTGTTGAGTGTCAGCCAGATTTCCTGAGTTGTTGAGTCTCAGCCAGATTTCCTGAGTGGTTGAGTGTGAGTCAGATCTCCTGAGTGGTTGAGTGTCAGCTAGATCTCCTGAGTGGTTGAGTGTCAGCTAGATCTTCCGAGTGGTTGAGTGTCAGCTAGATCTGCTGTGTGGTTGAGTGTGAGTCTGGTCACTTCCCACTGCACTATTCTCTCCAGACCATAATGATCTGTTCACGCTTTCACCGCTCACTCACTCGACCACATCTAACTTGTTTAATACACCAGTTTACCACCAGATAGTGCAGAACCAGCCAATCTGTTTCTCTGTTTATTTCCCAACACACCTGCTTGTCCTTGAAAAATCATCTGTACTGTACTACTGTGGTTCCTTGAATTCTGTATTGCTGCACATAATGTTCTGGTTGTCTGAGGCATTTGTCTTAGAAATCCCCTCTTCTTCTTTTTCCTCATTCAGACTTAGAAGATAGGCTGGCATATTGTGTTGTGGTTTACAGCTAGGCCATAATATTTGCACCCTTCAGTCCAACACAAATGATTTCAGACACAAACAATAGATTGCACAATTTATTGCCTGTCATATTTCAATGAATCTACTGTACTGTAGAAACACTTGATTAAAATAAAGGAAAAAAAAAAAAAAGGGGGAATCCTTTGAACAGAAACATAAAATTGACTACAATCAAAAACTGTCTGTTTCACCAGGGTAAATTTCACTTCGGCTAACCGCAGATTGTTGAGATTTATAGAAGCAACTACTATACATCGGTTTAGTTTAGAATTATGCAGACAAAAGGACATGGTCTTCACACTGCATTTAGCCCCATGAAACAGTGTTTGAATGTATCGATTTTGTGTTTAGCACATGCTCTCTCATCTAGTTATGGAAGAAACTGTATGGTATGGAGAACCCTAACCTACTTGTGTTTGTTTCAGCTGCCCCACTGCCACCACAGAGGGACCCACAGACATCCTTGTCCTACAGCAAAGCAAGCTCCAAGTCTATGGCTGAGGGGCTTGCTGAAATTGGTTAGTTTCTGCTTCTTTCTTTTGTCAGTATCCTCTCTTTGTTACAAGATGTCACAGTTTGACAAGACAACCTGAATAAGACTAGTTTTGATAAGAATTCTCATCTTTCATTTTGCATGCAGTCTGCTGACTAATTGGTTTCACCCTGTTGCCTCAGAAAGACTAAATTTAGTCACTTCTGCTCATGACACAGTTATAAAGGCTGATATATTGCTATGTCTGCAATAACCGGTTCTCAGAAAGCATAGATAAATTCCATTGGTCATGTGTGTGCCTACGCAGTGTTTAATATGCCAGGATAAAAATATATTAACTGAAATAACATGTAGGGAATTTCCTTTCTGGCCCCAGTAGATTTTTTTAATCCAAGATGACGTAAGATTTTCCTATAAGCCTGACAGAGGTCACAGCTTGGGTCACCAAGTAAATTTTGTAAGGCCCTGGGTGATATATTCCATTTAAAGCTTCACTATCTTCATGTTTATTGATTACTCCTTTATATATCTTTATATGTTTTGAAAAGTTTTCCTAAATGTTGGTAAATAAATTTTACAAAGTTTATCAGTGATCTGTATATTATGGATTTTGTTTTTTAAGGATTATTCCCCTGGAATTCTCTCGGGTCCATGACCGGGTTTATTTTTTTAAGTATTTGCATTGCAAAAGGGTTAAATTTCTGGAATAGCCAAAGTAAGTAATCTAAATGTTTTAAAAGAGAATAAGATACACAAAAATAGCTTATTACAAACATTGAAAAGTAGAAAATTGGTCATCATTTTGTGGCGACATTATGAGAAAATGTTGTGACAACTGGAATATAATTATTGGAAGAAAAGAACAAGGAGAGAAATTGTCATTACCTTTTATCATGATGTGGAAAGGTTTCAGCACATGAATTGTTAAATGAGATCACAGTTTGCTGAGCAGCAGTGATGTGATGTTGATTTTCACAACTTCACAATTTTTTTTTTTCAAGTTGACAGCAGGATGAATAGTTCTCAACACAACTTCCACATAATCATTTGCAATTTTTTTTTGAACAGAAAAACTTGATGCAACCATTGCTGAGTTTGAAGGCCAGGAGGCAGCTCGGAGTCGCTCGCTTCATGCCCTCCATGCTGCAGACGAGCAGAAGGTGGCCTCCGTGCGAGCGTCTCATGCTCTGAAACGGGTCTCAGTCATGGACTACGAAGGCCTGATGGCTGGGGACCAAGAGGTCAGCGACAACCAGGTCAGTAAAGGTCATGTTACCCCCGCAGAAGTCAGGATAAACTTATATCACGTGTCATCATTTCCCAATGCATCATTACAAATTTGTTATTATTCGCCAAAATCACATACCATTAAATTGTCATTTTGCAGTTATAAATAAATATTGTGCACAGTCAATAGTGTATTTTCAGGAGTAGCGTAATGATGTGCTTACATTTTATAGTGTAAATATAATGTCCCCCCCCCAAAAAAAAAAGAGAAACAAAAAGAAAGAAATGCATAGCTATCCGATGACGCCTTTTTATTAGTTTGTGAATAAAATATAGTTTTTTGGTTTGTGAAAAGCAGACTCAAATGTTGTTTACTGTGTCCAGTGGGCATGTGGGTGTGAATTGCATGGGATTTTGTAATCACTACAATGCAGTGGTCTGTTGTGGTTAAGACCAGACGTAAGCATAGCCCAAAATGCACGCATAAGAAAGCAACACAATTTGGGGGTAAACACTATTCACTGCCTATGCAATTGAAACGCTGAAAAAAGGATAACAGTACACCAAAACATTCAGTTCATTTTCAAGCAGTCATGAATCACGCCTCTATCGATGAATTTTAGGAATTTTGCCTGTCTAAGTCAGGTTGTCAGGCAATTAAACGTGCATCAGAGTACCATTAGTCGACTTTGGTACCGGTTCCAAGCCTCTGGTGCAGTTGAAGACCGACATCACAGTGGACGACCCAGAGTGACAATAGCAGCGGAGAATCACTTTATTCCGCTTCGTCACCTCAGAGACAGGTTTACCACAGCTTCCTCAACTGAGGAGGCATTGTCTCAGGATGTCATGTGTCTGATCAAACTGTTCGGAACAGACTGCATGATGTTGGACTTTATGCATGATGTTGGACTTTATGCACGACGACCACACCAAGGACCTATCCTCATGCATCGCCACTGACAAAATCGACTTTTCTGGGCCAACCAGAAGGTTGTGGATTCTTGTGTGTATATCACCTTACTGTGTACATGAAATTGTTTATTATATGTATATGTATTGTAATGTCTGTAATATCATTTTGTAACTTGTATTAATGTACGATTCTTTTCAGACATTTGACAGATCAAAAAGTACACCTGACAAATCTGCAGCTGTTGATGATCAAAACAATGAGCACTCCCTGAGCAATTCAGTTACTGGCTCCTGGGAAAAGAGTCATGCACCTCCAGCTCCCTCTGGTGCCCAGTATAACAGCAGCACATCTGGAACACCGAACATGGCACACAAGATGCCTCCTACCCCAGAAATCGTTCGTATTAACACAGCAGGGAGAAACAGCAGTACTTACGGTGTCATGGCAGCCGACTTAGACAGCCGAAAGAAAATGGAGTCAATCTATGATTCAAGCTTTAGGCCTGAGAATAACACCACATCTATTGACAACAAAGGACCAGCAGCAAATGGAAATCATTCTGTACTCATTAAGAATAATTACTCCAGTCATAATGGAGATAAAGGTATTTCATTTGCAGATGAAAGAATCGCAGAGAATGCACACAAATTTATACAGAAATACCCAAATGCAACCTTGCTAGTTACTGCAGATGTTCATTCTGATAAGATTAATGGGAAGAAGGACAAAGTTCTGTATGAACCAGAGCCAGACTATGATGATAATGATGACGATAAGTCTGCCTTTGCAAAAGCAAATAAACTCAGCAGCAGTACGTCTGTAGCTGTGACAACTCCTCGTCTTGCTAAGGCTAGTGAGGATCCACGAAACACAGATGTGGTCAGGCAGAACAAATCAGCGGTCACTGTTATATCTATTACTAGCGGAGGAAACAAAGATGTCAGTAGGTACATTTCAAGCTCACATTCGTCTCCTCACTTGACAAACAGTGCCAAGTCGTCGCCGATGTCTGTCCGCATGACTGAAAATACAGCCTTGACCTCCCCAGCCCAGAGTATTTCCAGCTCCAGAAGGTCATCAGGTGTTGTCATGACAACGCCTTCCCAACCTTCCAGTGCGGAGAGTTCTAGAAGATCATCCATTCAGTCTAACTTAAGCGGAGAAAATGACAAAAATGGCAGGAGCTGCACGCCATCGTCAACCTCAACCATAACATTGGAAAATTCCAGAAATGTGGAATCAGAGTTTATTCCACCACCACCACCTCCCCCACCCCTTGACCTCGTAGTTGGCAGGACATTATCATCAACAGAGAGTGGATCAACTTCTTCACTGAGGCGCCGCCCAAATGATGCAGACACCTTTGCAGTTTTGCAGAATCGCGTTTCAACAGATGATATTTTAGCGGCTGTAGCAGAGAGACGAAACAGACTGCAGACGGAAGGGCCTCGACTCTCTGAGGTGAAAACTTTACCAATGAGTAAGTCTCATTTTATTGTTCTATTGCATTTTTGATCCCTTTTAAGATAGTATTGAAGAGTTATGATTTGTTTAATCACTATCCTCCTCTGTGGGTCCTGGGGCCCCATTTGTGGAAGGGTGGGGGAGAAAAGACTTAGTGGGCTGTGCTCCGAATAACGGTCCCAAATTATCGAGGTTGAAAATATACCCTAACAGGGCCTCAGTTACATGTAAATTGCGGACTTCTCTCCGGTGTCTATACCGCCACCGCTGAGAGTATCTCCCACGCCACTACGTGCGGCACGGAGTGGGGCTAAACTAGATGGCTGGGACTCACAAACAAATAAAATGAAGGAAGCTGCTGCTCGTGAGTCCCAGCCATCTAGTTTAGCCTCGCTCCGTGCCGCGCGTAGCGGTGCGGGAGATACTCTCGGCGGTGACTTTAACTCGGTGGAAGCTTTTCGGCTGTATGCTGTGTAGTCGCTGGAAAGAGGTCCACAATTTACATGTGACTGAGGCCCTGTTAGGGTATATTTGTGGCCTTGATAATTTGGGACCGTTATTTGGTGGATAGCCGACTCAGTGCCCCCCCCCCCCCCCCCCACCTCCTCTCAAGCATGTAATAAAAGGTGACTAATTATGAGTTAGCTAAAACTGGAAGTGTTTTGAGAAATGTGGACAACACACAACCTGATAGCGGTCTTCCTAAAGATGAAAGCAGAAGAAGAAAAAAGAAGTAATCATTACTATCATGTGTTTAGCTGATAAATGAGAGGTGGTTATAGCTGACCAACTCACATGATTACAGTCTCACAGATCAACTCTGTGTTCTTATCCTGATTATGTCATCTTGCTAAGTTATCTAAGCATATATCTATTTGGCCTCCCCTTGCTCTTTTCTCATCAAATTTGCCAGTTTTGACCAAGTTTTTCTGTTTTTTGTCCTCATAATACATTTAGCGAATCTTGACTCTAGATGTAATCTCTCTAATCAATGAGCCTTTTTCATCTGTTAATTTTTGTTTTCAGTCTTATTTCATATTCTTTGCATTTTCTCTAAAAACAGTATTTTTCCTGCCAGATATTTTTCAGCTGTGGTAACCACTTTATGAAGCTGGGTCAGCCAATAACGACCACTGAAGGGGAATCAAATTTAGCTTCTGCTGGGCATTGCACACTGTTGTTTTGGTAACCCATTGCACTACATACAACATTGCCTCACTGTTGTATGTTAACTCATTTAACAGGAAGTATGGGCACACATGAATATTTATGAGTACGCTTACAGTGGCTAGGGCAAAATACACAGGCCACTTAGGACTGGTAAAACAGGTATTCTATGAAATTCACCTGTAAATGGGACACTGACTAATGGGAGGTTTGATTCACTAGCTCTCGGACAGTGAGTTCGGATAGATATATGGTCATGCCATTTGACAGCTGTTCTTAGCAATGTGTTTTATTTTTTTGGAAACTTGGACTGTCCAGATGAATTTGGTGTATTAGAATTCTGAGTGTTGTCAGTGTTAAATGGTTTAAAATGGGTGCCAGTGCTAAATGGTTTCAAATGGGTGCCAGTGCTAAATGGTTTCAAATGGGTGCCAGTGCTGGATGGTTTCAAATGAGTGTCAGTGCTAAATGGTTTAAAATGGGTGCCAGTGCTAAATGGTTTAGATGGGTGCCAGGGCTAAATGGTCTATAATGGGAGCCAGTGCTAAATTGTTTATAATGGGCGCCGGTGCTAGATTGCTTTTAATGGGTGCTGGTGCTAAATTATTTAAAATGTGTGCCAATGATAAACTGTTTGGAATGGGCACCAGTGCTAAATAGTTTAAAATGGGTGCCGGTGCTAAATCATTAAAAATGGGTTCCGGAGCTAAATCCTTTAAAATGAGTTCTGGTGCTAAATTATTTAAAATAGGTACGGGTGCTAAATGGTTTTAAATGGGTGCTGGTGCTAAATGGTTTAAAACGAGTGCCAGTGCTAAATTGTTTATAATTGGTGCAAGTGCTAATTGGTCTAAAATATTAGTTACCTCTATATACCCAATATGTTTCAAGCTTTTTAAATTTGTTTAACTTAATCACATTTTGCAGAAAGGTCCAAGGATAATTTTGGAGGAGGTTGTTTACGTATCTTTTTTCTTTTGTCAGAAAGATTGTGGTCGCAGTTGTAATATATTTTGAAACTTAATTATTATGAAGTTTAATATTGTATTCTTTAATAATGTAACTTAAAAAGAAGTATGTGCTCAGTTGCCAATTTGACCACAAGTAGATTACATTTTTTAAATACAAAAATAAATTTTTTTTTCAACAGGCAAATCGACACTTGAATTGAACCAGGAAGCATTAAAAGCAGCGGTGGCCAAACGTAAATCTCGCTTAGAACAGATCGAGGATACTTCCGTTGTTAGTGAGATAGAGGCCAGGCTGAACCGAAGTAAAAAACTTCAAGCTGCAAAATATTTTGGTAGTGATGCCAACAGAAGTGATGCATCTACCAAGAAAGAGGAAGTGGTCTCTTCACCATCTGTTTCAGTAGCTGCTTCTGTCATGGCCGACAGTTCTGATAAAACTAAAGATGGGGCAGTTAAGTCTGAACCTCAAAACAAGCAGGTCTCACCAAATGTGCCTGTCAAAACATATCAAAACACTGGTATCTCTTTGGGGGAAAAACAGCCCAGCCAAGCAAGTTCATCAGTTCCTGCCAAAAGTATTGTAGATTTCAGGTCTGTCTTAAAACCTGTTGACATTAAAGGTGCCTCCCCTGTGGCAGTTCAATCTAAAGCTTCGGTGACATCCCCAACAGAAGTGACCCCATCAACAGCAACTGGAGCTAACATCACTACAATCATTATGACTAAGAGCAACTCTGGCAAAGTCCAAGCTCCACCACCTCCTCCACCAGCACCTGCCATACCCTCAGCATCAGCCATACCCTCAGCATCAGCCATACCCTCAGCACCTGCCATACCCTCAGCACCTGCCATACCCTCAACAACTGCCACTAAATCCTCAACACCAACAAGGTCAGCACTCCCTGCATTGCTAACCAGCAACACAGCACAGAAGGTTGGTGGAAGTAATTCAGCTGTGTCAAGTTCATCATCACCTACGGCCAGCTCCACCTCAGCCAGTCCCTCAGCTAGTAAAACCTCTTCACCCGCTGATTACATTGCTCTGGCAGAAAGAGCTAGACAGGAGTACTTGAAAAAGAAGGCATCTGGTAATCTTCAATCCCATATAGAAAAAAAGGGGCCTGTTGAAATTACTCCTAACAGAAAAAGCATTCAACGTAACAAACCCACTTTGCCAGCATCACCAACAAGTGCCCCTAGTGAATCATCAACCAGACCCAGTGAGTCCAAGGTCAGCGAAGTCAAACTAGAGTCTGGAATTAAGGATGGCCAAGTTTCTGTCCAGGATAGGATTAAAGGTTTACAGCCTGAGAAAAACCTGGCAAATGGGAAAACAAGCCTAGCTGGAGTTACTGAAGACCATTCTTATACAGATGTAACATTGAGCAATGGAACTCTTAAAAAGTCACCACCAAAGAATAGTGCCTTGCCCCCTCTAAACATGGCACCGGCACCACCTCCAGGATTTGGTGACAATGACGGAAACTCATCTATAACAAAAGCAGTTGTCATTGACATCATTTCCGCTCCATCAACTTTCAACGCGGCAGGCAGCCCTGATTCAGCATTAAGTATTCCGTCTTTTGGCCAGGATGATGCTGCAAGTTTTGTATCGTCTGCATCTTCCCTCAGCACCTGGTCAAGTGAGTATGGGGATGGAACCCACTACAGCAGACCAAAAGATAATATCAAAGACTTCATTGCACATTCCCCTCCTCCTCCTCCAGACTTTGGAGACTTCAGTTTGGGAGATCAAGATACATTTATTCCTCCACCCCCAGAATTCTTGGAAATAGACTCAAACGCTAATGAAACCAAGACTATGGATAAAAACTCTAAACCATTTACATCCAAACTGGTTTCAAACTGGTCATGTATGGATGTTTTAGACTGGCTGGATAGTCTGAATTTACCTCAGTATCGAATCAGCTTTGCCAAAGCGCAAATCAATGGAAACAAGCTGATGAATATGGGCAGAAATGAGTTTATCAACTTGGGAGTTACTCAAGTTGGACATCGAATGAACCTGGAACGATCGGTAAAGAAACTGAACATTGGCCTCTCTACAAATTTGTAATTGTGATGTATACATATGTTTATTGTGGCCTGGGAGGGCTGTTTGCCAGAATGGCTTAGTAGTTCCACAAGGTCCTTATTAATAGGGTTAAAAATGTCATTTGCAAATGAAAAATAATGCAATTGGATAGATTTGTAGAAAGTTCAGATTTTTTAAAGAAGGCTTATGGATACTGTATGTGGTAGAGAGAGAAATTTAAATGTTCTCAAAGACAGTGGATAAAATAACATGCTTCTGTTGAGCTAAGTAAAGAATCAACATCACAACACTCTTGACATTCTCATAAGGGCTCTGTCTCCAGCTTCTGCAGCCAGTGAGTTTTAACATCCATGAAATGAGCCAAAGACTGCTGGCATTTTTAGCCAGATGGAGATTCTGAAAAGGCAAAGCGATTGTGCACAAAGTCTGTGCATTACACACACAAAATACCAAATTTTGTTTGCTGTTTCCTGAAAGAAACATGAAAGAATGTACAACTTCTATTTTTGCATTATTTTATTTTCTTGTGTGTTAGTTTTGGAGAGAATGATTTTTACCTTCATTAAATCAAACAAACCCCATTCCTTTGAAAGTTTTTTTTTTTAAATAATTTTTTTTTTCAAATTAAAACGATTATTTGCTTACAAGAAAAACAAAACATGTATAGTTGACACAAACAAAATTCCAAGCATTTGTTTCAAGTTAATCTTTCAAGTCTTTTATAAACTGATCAGTTGCTTCATGTCAAATTTGGCTAAATCTTTGAAAGGTTACTATTTCATCTACGTAACCACCATGATGGCTAGATACTCGCCTGCAGATGCCAAGATCATAGGTTCAGATCCTGATGGACTGGACTTGTCTTTTTTTAAATGACCTTGGCTCCTAGGTCATCCCAGCCTTATGTGGGTTCCAGGTAGAGTCGATGGAAGTAAAAAAAAAAAAAACAGCTGGAGTGATTTTGATCACTTCACCCACCGAAAGCCAGTTTGTCTGTAAAATAAAGGTCTAGCCCTGTATGCCCAATATGGCTGAAGGTGTGGAAAAGGTTTCCTTCAGTTGACTATCTCACCTGTGCCTTCCCAAGATGGTGAAAATAGTCCCCATGTCAGATGCTGGGTTACAGGTGTGAAGTACCTAAAACTTCACATATACTAGACCTTAGCATATTGAGATATGGTGGCCATATCTCTACCTGCTGTTTCCTTCCCTGAACCTTCTAAAAGCAGTGACCCTAAACTCCTTTCACTGCAGAAGGTTGAACCCAGACCTCTGACTTAGTTGGCAAGTAGGCTAACCCCCACCTTGATAAATGACTGTAATTAATGTGCAGTAGGAGTGGCCAACAGCTGCTGGCTATGGATGCACCAATAGGTCTATTGATGCTGCAAAGGCTGGAGTAATAACTACTTTTGGCCACGGAAAATGTTGCAGTGGTTTAGAACAGTGTTTTTTAACCCATAGTTTTATGGTCCACTGGTGAGCTTTGGAAAAGTCCCTGCTGGCCACAAAAGATGTCTGCCTAATCATGTGACAAGAATGGATAGATCCTTTTCTATTCCAGTCTGTAGAACCAACATCTTAAAGGACTTTCCATTTATGTAGAAGAAAAAAGACTATCTCTGGGATGTTAGTAATCAAAACCAAAGGGAAAAACCGAATGGATTGACCTTCAAGACAATCAGAAAAAAAATTAATGTCATTTAAATGTTGGTCTATTCTGCTCTGCCCCAACCACATGTGAGGTGTAGTAGCACAGTGACTACAATGCTTGCCTACTGATGCACTGCTCATTAGTTTGAATCCCCAATGAGACAGATTTTCAGATGGACACAGCCTAAATATTGGCACCAGAAAATGTTTCTGGGAAGTAAAGGTGGCCACCATTATATTCACCATCTCATTGATGTCGGCGTGAATCTGCCTGAGAGGTGAGAAAATAATAGTCTGCCTAGAAATAGCCCAGATCTGAAACATGGATGTGCATGAGAAGCTCAAGTTCTGGAACCAGATCAGTGTCCAGAAAAGGATGAACAACCAGATCTTTTGGCTGGAGTTTACAGCTAGGGAATGCTAAGTATATAAAGAAGATATTCACCACATCACTTACAAAGTGCAGATTGGTCAGTAAAAATACGTGACTAATGACATAAGCCCATACATATCAAGGCACGTGTCAGGACCTCTACTTAACCTCCACTTCTTTCTTTTCTCCTCTTCCTCCTGTGCCTCTTTCTCCTCGTGTCTACAGGGCTGTTTGCTGTTTTGCCTATACTGGGTGACAGAACTCTTCCTGTAATATTAATTGTCATGAAATTAATTCTTTGCTGTCTTTTCTTTCTACCTTTCTCTTTGGTCTTGTACATTACATTTTTCTCACTAAAGATTTCCAAGTGTCTCTTGTATCCCATTCATTTAACCTGAGCAAACTATCTTTATCTATTTCACTTCACAGCCTCATTAATTATATCAGGTGTTATAGTTACCTCTGTTCTCTTTGCATTTGTTTCTTTAATTTAGTGTAATATTTGAGATTTTGTATAGTGAACAGCTATGGCTGATGCAAATTGTATTTTAATCATGTTAAAACCATGTATGATATTTATTATAAAAAATTAGCTCTTTTATTTTGTACATTGTGTATTTTATCTTTGTTCAGTAAATGTTTAATTGGGAATTTAATGGCAAGAGTTGTAAGTAGAGTTGTTACAGCTGTACTGATAAATAGAGAACATTGTTTTTATGTACATTGCTATGCAGGTAAAGTTGTAACTGATTTAATTACTTTATTTTTAATGAAATGTTAAAATGCCTATAATGTTTGTCGTATAACGTGTGAATAATGATTAAGCCTTATTTTATTTGAATACAATCAAGAAATTCAGGATTGGATCCTGAAATGATAATTTGTATAATTTATTGATTGATGTTGTGACAAATATTTAATACATTCCCTATTCAATTTTGCTTTGATGTTTTCCTGTTTTGTCAAGGTACAGCTTTTTAAACTTACAAATTTTATCAATTTTCAAAGATGGATATTGTTTAATTACAAATTATAGTTCCCAAGCATATTGTAGTTTCATCCTACTGATGTTTCATTTATTTTTTATTATTATTTTTTTTTTTATATTTATCTTTTGGAGTTACAGTGGCACTAGCAGTAATGGCATGATGACAGTTGCACTAGCAGTAATGTCATGATGGCAGTGGCATTTTCTTTAATGTCATGACGGAGCTGTTATCATTGTCCGAAAGATTGGGAACATTTATGGCCACTGGAAAGATTGGGAACATGTTATGACCACCGAAAGATTGGGAACATGTTATGACCACTGGAAAGATTGGGAACATGTTATGACCACTGGACAGATTTTGAACATGTTATGACCACCGAAAGATTGGGAACATGTTATGACCACTGGAAAGATTGGAAAGGGAGGTAAAGCAAAACAGTGTTAGAGTATCCTTGACAGCCATTTGTCATGGAACAAGTTAGAAGATGTGATTGTTGAGAAAGCGTCAATCATGGGATTGTTGAGAAAGATTCAGTCATGGAATAGTTGAGAAAGAGTCAGTCATGGAATTGTTGAGAAAGAGTCAGTCATGGAATTGTTGAGAAAGAGTCAGTCATGGAATTGTTGAGAATTAGTCAGTCACAGGATTGTTGATAAATATTCAGTCATGGAATTGTTAAGAAAGAGTCAGTCATAAAATTGTTGAGAAAGAGTCAGTCATGGGATTGCTGAGAAAGTGTCAATTGCCATATGTTGCTTGGGACTGAAAATACCTTATCCTAATTTAAAAATGGGTGTCTTCAAACTCAACTCTATCCTTCAGTCCTATGCCATTTGAACACAGATGCCTAATAGGCACAGCAGCCATGATGAGAATAAAACATGAGTTTATTACTTTCAAAGACTCAGATACATTGTATTAATATCTGACCAGATCTCCTTAATATACTCAAGCCAGGATTCAAAGATCTTACATGAGATGAATTATTTTGGATAGAAAGGGATGTATCTCAAACCTGTCCTCATAGTTTTTACTGATTCATGCTAGATAATTTCATTCTGTTGGAATTTTGCTTTTGTTTTTGATAAGAGCTTTCTGTATGTTAAAAAACCAGGTCACAGAAAACACTCAGGTATGCAAGGTTGTAAAATAAACTGTAAACTAACTTTACTTGGAGGGGGGAGAGGAGTTAATTTAAAAAATGAGCGATTCATGCGGCAGTCATTCTCCGCTGTGACGATGATGCATGTAACATTGGCATTCTGCATATCTACAAGGCTTTGAGATTATCTGTACCTTCACTGTTGACAAGTTAAATCGTGTAGGCTATAGAAATGCAATGAATAAAGAAACACATAACATAACTATTGACCCGTTAAGTTCGTGGAGGTGTATTGATGGAAGCATTAGCACATAAAACTTGCCATCTTTCTCTGACTTCCGCTTGACGAATAAGTTTGTAATAATTCAGTCCTGTCCATTTCTTGATGTTGTCATTCCAGGTTCATCTTTGCCCTCCTCTTCTTGGACTACCCAACAATGTTCCTTTGCAATCAAAACATATCTCACCATGCGCCCGAACCAAGCCAGCTTGTAATGTTTCACAACTACCAAGAGAGGCAAAGATACATACAAAAAGAGACAATCACAAAAGACAGAGCATGGATATTTAAGCTTGTTCAGCAAACAGTACATGTTATCAAAGACCAACAGAAGCTAACACAACTGTCCAGAAAAAAAAAATAAGGCAGGACTATTTACATGCCAATCAGACACATAAGAATATTGTTTATTGGGCTTGCATTTTCAATAAATTAATTAACACAAGAATTAGGAATCTTCAAGAGAGGAGAGTAAAAGAATTCACAAATACGACCAAACATTTTCACCTAGGCTTTTATCAAGAAATAAAGAAATTCTCAACTATTACCAAAAATGAGAGGGGAATAGGCAAATAAGCCTTGTTTTGAGAACATACTAGAAAAGAGAAACAGGAAGTGTAT